ACCAAACATTAAGGTCGCATGCGTAAGTTTACCCACCACAAACTTTTTTTTTTTCTTTTCCCCTTTTATCACAAAGTTTTTATCTTACCAGTGACRGAGAGCTGCGAGAGGACGAAGGAAATGCATTTGACCATACGTTAAGGTCACATCCACAAGTATATCCACCACAAGTTTGATTGATCCCCCAAGCGACTGAGTGCTGGGAGAGGATCAACTTAAGGAACTCCGCTGGCTGGCTTTGGACATTAGCACACATTGTAATCAAAACACACCCGACCTTTTTTTTTTTTTTTTTTTTTTTTACTGTGGGGATATTATATCCTTTTCACAACAATCTGTTCCCTCTGTTTGCTCCTCTGATATCTCGTTCACCCAATTGCGTTAACTTGCACGCCTTTCCGTCTTGAACATTGATTAATTATATTTCTTTTATTAATTACTGTATTGTAATGGAGGATCCATTTTACTCACGGCCGTTTCTCACTCCAGTCAAGCAGCACTCTCTCTCTCTCTCTCTCTCTCTCTCTCTCTCTCTCTCTCTCTCTCTCTCTCTCTCTCTCTCTCTCTCTCGCTCGCTCGCTCGCTCGCTCGCGCGCCCTCTTTCTCTCTCTCTTTCCTTTTCCTTCTCTCTCTTTGTCTCTGTCTTCGTCTCTCCGTTTGTGTTTCTCACTCCAATCAAGCATCTCTCTCTCTCTCTCTCTCTCTCTCTCTCTCTCTCTCTCTCTCTCTCTCTCTCTCTCTCTCTTTGCCTCTGTCTTCGTCTCTCCGTTTGTGTTCCTCCAGCGTCCAATTGTTCGTTCCTGTCTCCGCCAGTCTGTTTTTTTTAAACAGTCTGTGTTTTTGTCCGTTTGTGCTCCAGCGTTCTAATTATCGTTGTTATCTTCTTTGTTTTTTTTTGCCATTTGCATCTCTGTCTCTATCCCTGTCTATGTCTCTCCGTTTAAACCACCAGCACTTCCCGATAATTCGGTCGTTAACTACACCGGAAGCGCTGGAATGAATGGGCCTGCCGATCTGGGCTACATTCACTCGAAAGAAACGGTCGCAATGTCCGGCGGCCAACGTGCAGATTTAACAGGAAGTACTGGTGATAGCTCAGTTGGTAAGCCAAGCCTATATATAAGGCTTAGACCCTAGGGTACGGGTAGGATATAAGTCGCTCAGGCCACTCCGAGTTCCGCCTGGCCTTGGGTAAGCTAGGTTCCGGACGGTAAGACTGCTTCTGTGGGTGCTAGCCTGTCTGAACCTAGGGTCCATAGAGGCCTGTAGTACATTCTCTAGGCCTGGCGTCCAAGTTCCGGTCAACAAGGCTCTGAACCTAGGGTCCATGGGGAGCAAACAGGATTAGATAGATCCGGCCGGGCTCTAACAAAACACGGCCAAAGGTGTCCCCTCTAATCGTAAGATTAGAGTGTGCATCCAGCTATATCGGGAAAACATTCATTTACATTACTTGGATGGATCAATCCCAAGGGAAGTCCTGTGTTGATTTGATAAATATTAGCAATTCTTTGAATTTGATTGTGTGTGAATAACCTCACTCTAATTACATTCTCTTTTCTTGTGTCTAATGAAATTTATTCTATTGAGATGTATTTCTCTATTTATTATATTATCGATTCTCTATCTCCAATACATCTAAAATCAATGATCAATTAAATTGTATAAAAAGAAGATGAGTATATACATAACAAATATATAAAACATAACAAATATATAAAAAATATATATACATAATATACATAAGAGATTATATACATATAAGAAATTGTATATATAATAAATAAATGAAAATAAATAGGATTGCATATACTGATTTTTGTATGATAATTTCGAGAATATAAAGAGAAAGGTAATAGAAATAGATCAGTTCATCTATGGAGGATTCTTTTTGTGAAAATTCAACCTTGCAAGTCTCAAGTTTTCAGATTAGAGCCTATAATAGGTTCGCGGAAATTCATAAACATAGTCCTCTTGGGGCCTGTAGTAGATTGTCTG